AACTAACCTGTACCCTTTTACTTCAAACTACTACTACGGTAATACAGTACAAACATTGTGTAGTATGTGTTAATGTCATATGAATTTACGCTAAATACGAATATTTCTTAATATTGTTTACTTTAAAATGTAGTAATAATTGACAAATATTCACATTTTGAATATTTTGACAAAAAGTGCAATCATTTACAGATAATCTTCACTTCAATTCATTGCTGGCATTGAAAGCACAGAATATTCTCCGCAAAGCAAACTCAGTGCAAACGCTAACGTTATTGCTGTGAGACGTGTCATACAGACGTCAATACAAAACAGATGACAACAAAATGCAAACAAAACTCGCAATCAATTCAAATGTAAACCAATTTAAACTCATTTTACACACAATTTAGTCAAACATTTGCATCAAAATTGTGACCAAAAATGTGCGAAAAGTTGTCGAAACTGTGGCCACAAATGCCGTCAAAGACAGTGTCAACTGTTGGCCGAAGACTTGCAGACAATGAAGACATTGATTGTCTTCACTAATCATTTGAATAATTATTACATCAATAAAATGAAGACATTTGACGACTCGTTGGCCGCCAATGAGGAGCTGTTCCGCAGATAACGACTCCAACTGTTGGCCGCCATTGAGGCCGAAGTGAAGACAATCCGTGAAAACATAACTAATATTACGAGCGATAGAGTGGTGACGAAGAAGTGGATGAAAATGAGGTGCGATTTATGCGACAAATACTTCTGACCACAACTTCTGACCACAACTTCTGGTCCATCACTTGTCCACAGTTTGCAGACATTGGATGACAACAACACTAACAGTATTCTTCGGGACACTTGCATCCATGTGTGCCATACTCTTTTCGACCACTACCGGTCCACTGTGGCCGGGATGTGACCCACAATACGAGTAAATAATAACCATTTGTATTGAATTTGCATTTATTACTAATGAATTGTCACTTCAATAGCAAACAACACGACTGGACGGACACGTGACTGGACGGACACGTGACTGGACGGACACGTGACTGGACGGACACGTGACTGGACGGACACGTGACTGGACGGACACGTGACTGTGACTATGCATACGGGGGAGAAGCCATTCGCGTGCGAGTGGCCCGGATGTGGCAAATGGTTTAGACATTACTCTACCCTTAAATCACACGCTTATACTCACGATAAGAATATTCTGCGAAAACATGTCTATTATTACCCCCGCGTGTGACCGCTCTTATAATAATCCCGCAAAAGTATGACACAATTCGTTCATTTTGTACCTCAAAACTAACCCTTACTTATGACTTGTATTGTCTGATGAATAGCTCAATGAACACATATATAGTGTTATAACAAGGATGAGAAGCCCTTTAAGTGCTGTAACTCAACGTTCATATGAGCAAAGAATATGCTTTACGTAAGCGATTGAATCGATACTTTATATGCATTTAATTGATACTCATTTTGTGTTTAATGTCTAGATTTACGAACAATACATACCCCGGCAACTCGTGTCTACACTGCGATAAACGCTTTTCGTACAAAACAACACTTCACAGTAGAATATTAAGTTGTGAACCCTTATCCGACCCGACCCTTAAGGGTTTCAGAAGGGAACGGGTTTCAATATTAAGGGTCAGGCCGGGAAAGGGTTTCCCCTTATAATTTTTTTACAGTATTTATATTTTCTCTTAACTCGACCCCAAAAATGTCAATGATTTGCATATTATATAAAACTAATTTGTTTACTTTTTTAATAAATTTTAATTTTAGTTTTACTTACCGTTATATGATTTAATCTTCAATAAAATACCTAATAAACTAATGTAAAAATTCAAATCTTACAAAATTAGTATTCAAATTGATAGCAATTAAAAATGATTAGAAATTATTAAGATCAAATATAATTTTAGAGACTGTTTAAGATCTTTCTAAAAGGTTATGAATAATTTATTAGCAATTATTAGCAATTGCCATAATTGACAACTAAAAATAGTTTCATTTTATCATTTTTATCA